AGGAGAGCAAAGGGAATCTTTCCTGACACCCTAGATCCTTTTGCATGAGATCAGCCTTATGAAAAAAGAAAGTTATTCTTGGCCATCTCCCCTCACTCCCAACTCCCACTCACGCCCCACCTCTTGCACACACTGATATCCAACTCTCAATTGAGAGGAACATGACTTAAGATTTCCATTGGGCCCATAGTATCTCAAGCACTAGAGAAGGGCAGGGGGTGGGAAGAGACATGAATTGGGGGGGTGAGTTGCTCATCCTTGTGACCCAGAATATCTCCCCCTCCCTGTAATGATGAGCTTGCTTTTCCATAGGGCTTTCCTTTGATTCGGGGAAGGGGCCAACCAATGAGAGAGGGGCATGTTAGATTATTTTGGGGAAGGCCTCATGCCAGGAGGGTTCACTTTTACTAGGCACCAAGTGGCCCCAGCAACCAGTGTCTCCTGTACCAGCAGAAGCTCCAGAACTCTCACCCACTTGCCTGCCTCTTCCTTGTCTTTGCCCACTGAAGAGCCATGAGAAGGCAGCTCCGGTCCAGAAGGGCTCCGGCCTTTCCTCACAGTTATCGCTACAGACTTGTGAGTCCCAGGGAAAAGAATACTTTGTTGCTTCTTTTTAGTGGAGTGGGTTGGGGGTTGTGTAGGTCTTGGTTTGTGACTGCTTCTCCTTGGGATGGGCAGGAACAGTGAGGTTTAAGGAAGCGCATAATTTCAAGAGTGAGCAGTGACTCCCAGCACTCCATTTCACCCTAAATTTCTGGGTTGAAAGGGGGAGCCTCTCTTCCTACTAGAGAAAGATAAGGGAAGGGGAAGATGCCAGAGAATGAGAGGAAATTTTTCTTGGGAGTCAAGAATTAGAACAGACCTTTTGGAGTCTTGGAGTAAAGGTTTCATTCTGATAACAGGAAATTTAACCAAGAGGGAAGGGAAGGAGAAGAGGAAATGAAAGGCATTGCCTACCCAGCTATCTCAATCCCTTTGGGTGGTAGTTTCTTAGGAACCCAGCTGCTCTTTTTCTAAAGCAGAAATTCCAGACTATAGCTAAAATCATAGAATCCTAGATAGACACTGGGAGTAATCGTAGACATCATCTCTCCAGAACCCCTCATTAAGGAAAAGAGGCTGCTGGGGCTCAGAGCACAGGAGTGACTTGCAAATTAGTGGAAGAGCAAAAGTGAGAATGCAAGTTTTCTCACTTCTAATCTTGTACTCTTTCCATTATACTTGCAGTGTGCAACTCCCCAACCCTCTGACCCTTCACCACCCATTGCCATACTGCCTGCTGCCCCACCCTGACCAACACACACACACCACACACACACACACACACACACACACACACACACACACACACACACACACCCCTTTGATGTCACCATTTATCTCCAGGGTGCATTACAAATTTTTTTGAACCCAAAGTTTCTTTGCATTTACTTCGCTATAATCCATTAATATATGCCACACAGTACTTTTTTGAAGGGAGGTATATTCTGAAATCTCCCCCAAAGAGGATTTTGATCTGAGCCCCAGGAGGAAACAAAGCTTAATCTATTTTTCTTTGGGAATAGCCATTTATATAATCAGGGAATTAAGTGAAGACTGTCAACAGTCAGCAGAGGAAAACATGAATTATTCTAACCCCATATCCACCTACAAAGGGCTTCCCTTAACTTTCCAGCCACAATTCGTAGAAACTTTCGTTTGACATCCCAAAGTTCCTTCCAGCTCTTAGAGCAGTCACAATCTGTAGGGCATATATAGCTGTTCCTTACTTGACTTCTTTTCTATGTAATGTTACTAAAGTGTTGTATATAATTTCAATGATTTGTTAACTGGTTTGGATTTTCTTCTTGTTTTTTTATTTTTTATTTTTCAATTACAGTTTATATTCAGGATTAATTCTGTATTAGTTTCAGGTGCACAACATAGTGGTTAGAAAATTATGTACTTTAGAGTGGTCCCCTGATATTTCCAGTATCCACCTGGCCACGTACATAGTTATTATGATATTATTGACTGTATTCCTTATGTTATTACTTACATCTCTGTGACTCTTCTGTAACTACCAATTTGTACTTCTTAATCCCAATCCCTTCACTTTTTTTCACCCATCCCCCAATACCCCTCCCAGCTGTCAAGTGTCAGTCTGTTCTCTGTATCTATGAGTCCGTTTCTGTTTCATTCTGGTTTGGGTTTTCAATGCATCAGGGGATCTTGCTCTTTATAGAGAACACTTGACCAAATTTAAAAAGAAATTACTTGATGCAGTGAATAATCGTGTGCTAATTTCTCTTTTAAAATTAACTAATTTTTTAAAATTTATTTTTATTGTTGGCAGTATTACAGATGTCCCCCATTTCCCTCCCACCCTTTGCTTACCTCCACCCAGCTTCCGCCCCACCCCAGGTCTTCACTGCACTATTGTCTGTGTCCATAGGCTATCATTCAAATGCTTACAGGGTATTACTCAATGCAGGGCACAAATTTATCCTTTGGGTCATACTGCTTGTTTATATATTTGTTTATATATTTAGAGTGCTCAAAATGGAGCGACCCTCTGTCCTTCAGACTCTTGCCTTTTAGGGCAACATGATGGCCCCTCCACACTACCCACTATTATATCCCAGCACACTCACACTATCACATGAGGCCAGTGCCACTTTAGGAAACTGACAAAAACAGACCCTCTCATTACCAAAGGATTCCCTACTTGATTCCATTAAGTAGTTAGTTGCACAAAAGCGCCTCTCTTGCACATTGTGAGGCTTTCCTATACCTGGAAGCAGGGGGAGAGGAAAAAGATATTTGAGGTTCTTGATACTGAGGCATCGTGAAAGCCTTGGGGAAAACAGCTCTGAGAAGGTTAATTCTTCCCTCGAGGGTAAAGCTTTAATGACAAGCCATCTTTAATAGGATTATCATGAGAGCTCATATCTACAAATAAGATCAGGCTGAGGCCAAGGCCAGCTGCCTCCTCTGTGGAACAGAGGTGGAGGGCCAGGCATACAGGCAAAAAGGAGAGAAAAGGGAGCTGTTCAGAAAATATAAATGGAATATAAATTCCTTCATAATGAAATGTTACACTTCAAATTCTCTGAGATTTTCAGTTGCAGCAGATTCTCTGGGGGCCATGATGACTGTATCCACTGCAGTCCACATGACTGCTGAGGTTAGAGCGGCAAGCTCTGTAGAGCATTTCCCCAGAGCCAGGCAGTTATCATCAGCATTTATTCAGTACTCACTGGTTACCTAGCTGTGGGCTGCATACTGGGGTGGGCCATCAAGGAGTTAGAAAATATGGATCCTGCCCCCTGGGTGCTCAGAATGTACTTTGGGAGGTCAAATGTGTACATATGTTCACACTCAAGTGAGATTTAGAACATTTAGTAATCCATTCAGCATTGAATAATGGAGTTTATTTTCCCAAGCCTTACACTCTGAGTCCATGTCAGAGTCAGTAATCCTCAATTATAAGCATCTACTATATTTTGGGAGCATAGAATCTAACATTATTGTTTCCCATAAATCTGCTAAGTCACCTTTAGGCACTTGTGCTCAACGTGACAGGAGAAACATTATTGTCCAGGGTATCGAGAGACAAAAGTTCTGGGACTAAACTTGCTGTGTGGCTTTGTTTAGATCCTGTTCCGTCTCTGAGCCTCAGATGGACAAGTGAATCTCCAAGATCACTGTCAGTTCTGATACGGTGTGTGATATAAAACTGTACATTTGAACAAATTAAACAGTAATTCAAGAGTGATTATAATCAAGAGCTAGATAGAGCTGGGCAGGCTGAATTCTGAGCGTAGAGCCTTATCATTCTATATCACTTTTACTGATTCTGAACAGCCCAATTTTCTGAGGCCCCCTCCCCACTAATGGCAGAATTTTTAGTTGAGTGTCCTCTAAATGGCCTTTGAGTAATCAAGCAGGGAAGGGGCAGCCTAGAGCCCCTGGTCTCTATCATTCGACATATCCAACCCCAACAGGTGCACAGGCTCCGCCACTCTTCAGATTTGGACAGCAGAGAGAGGGAGGGCGACCTCATTTTCTACTGCTGCAGTGAGTTTTGGCAGACCCACAAAAAGCAAAGGTCCAACTCTCTAGCCTGTGGCTGTGAGGCATTTGAAATACCATTTGGTGAATTCTGGGGTTTTTTTCTTTCTTTCTTAGAACCACTCAGAGAGTATTACAGTTTCAGATCTCAAGTAATGGCTGCAATCAGTCAATCAACAAATATGTGCTGAGCGATTACTACATGCCCAGATTTTTGTCTAGGGAATGGGGTTTGGGAGGGGTGGAGACTAAGGAAGTATCAGTTGGGGTCCCAAACCCTCAGGTGGTCTGTTCAACCAGCTTAAGGCCGAAAGAGGTTCCAGACCAGGCAACAGTCAGAGAAGCAGCAAATAGCCCCCAACCCCCATCACTTGTTTCTGTTGGAAGTTGGGAAGGCAGTCTACATTTTGAGAAGGGGTACAGCAGTTGGCCTCTCCACCTGATGTCTACCCAAGGCTATTTTTAGCTACAACTTGGGATGGTGAAGTGGAGCAGCTGAAAGTGTACAGGGTGTTAGAATGAAGCTGATTTGGACTGAGAATTTACCATCATAGACACAAATGTCTAAAACTACTCTATCTTCCAGTGTTGCGCTTAGCTCTGTCCTGACAAGCCAAAGTGAAGCAGGGGGCCAAGGTCCCAGGATAGAGTAGTATGACACAAGCAGTCCTAGAGGAAGAGCCAAAATGCCTAAAGCTGAGAATAAAACTTATACCTCTGTGGAAAGGATATTGAATCAAAATGGGTCATAGAAAGGATATTTCTTCCAAAAGTACAGAGAGAAAGAAAATATCTCTTGTAACAATGGATATGTTTATGGGGAAGTGGAAATTTGAAGCATCTCCAAATATTAAGTCGTTTTCCATTTATATTTGGCTGGTGGGACGTGCCACTGGAAATTTTTTTCAAAAAGGGGATTGTGTTCTGTCACTGTTCCAGGATGACCAAGATGAAGTGAATCAGAACTACTTAGCAGATGAAGAGGAAGAAGCAGAAGAAGAGGCTCGGGTGATGGTGGTACCCAATTTGGAGGTGGAGGAGGAGGA